TTTTAACATAAGAACTATTTACTGCAAAAAAACTTAGCACGGCTGCATAAAAAACAGACAGACGTGTCCTGTGTGTGCGCGCGCGAGCTATTTAGTTATACAATTTATTTCGGAAATCTCACTCTCTCTCACTTTTTCTCACTTTCTTTCTCACTTTCTCTTACTCTATCGTATTCTCTTTTACTCTCTCTTACTCTCTCTCTCTCTCTCTTTCTCTTGCTCTCTCTCACTCTCTCTCATTCTCTTTCACACTCTGTCTCACTCTCTCTCACTCTCTTTCTCTTTCTCTCATTCTCCCTCACACTCTGTCTCAAGAAGTCAGAATGATGATTAAAGAAGTAGTTCGAGAAGAATTGGGAAACGTTAAACAAAAACTGGAAAACCTAAGAAGAATGATACAGGAAGTAGCTACAGTGAAGCAGTTAAAGAAATAAAGAGAGAAAATATTATAATTGTCAAGAATGCTGAAATGGAACAGAAGGTAAAATTAAAAAGCTAATAAAAGAAAAAGAGTGGATATTAAGAACATGGCGATAAGAATAATAAAATTAAGAAAACAAAGCAAGGGAACTGTAATAATGGGATGTGAAACTGAAGAGGAAGTAAAAAAATTGAAGGGGACAGTTCAAGCTAAACTAGGAGAGAATTATAAAATAGTGGAATCACCACAATCAAAGCCAAAATTAAAAATTTTATTAATGTAGGGGTAGAAGAGATAAATTTAAATGAACTTATATCTATGATAAAAGGCAAAACAAAATGGATGCAATAAATATGTGGATAATGAAGAAAATAATTAAAGAAAAGAAATTTTATATTATAACAACTGGTCTAAAAGACGATAAAGTGAAGAAGGATCAATAATAGTAGAAACAGATGATGAAACACACGAGTTGATTCTGAAGAAAAGTAAACTAAATATAGGATGGAAGAAATATCCTGTATTTAATCATGTTAGTATTAAAAGATGTTTTAAATGCTGGGGTTATTATCACATAGCTAAAAACTGTGTGAGAGACGAGACATGTCACAAATGTGCAGGAAATCACAACTCGATTGACTGCTCGGCGACAAAGAAAAAATATGTAAATTGTTATGTTCAAAATTCAAATGTACAACCTGAAAATAAATGACAAACACGACGCTTTCAGTCTGGAGTGTCCAACTTTTAAGAGGGCATTACAAGAAGAGAAGAAGAGAGCCGGCTGGGAGGACACTAAATAGCAACTACAGGAAGATGTGGAGCTAATGCTATATACAAATGCGCAAAGTTTAACGGCGCATAAAGATGAGATGTAGCATCAGATTTTGAAAAAAACCCACACAGACATCCATCCATCCAGAGATCCATTAGACATCTATTAGATGTTGCATGGAGCTGTCGACGTCTAATAGACGTCTAATGGAGTTTTTGTTCTGTGTAGGAATAAATCCTGCATTTTTAGCACTGTCGGAAACCAGGTTGACTGAAGAAAGTAAAGATAGTAAAGTGAGCGTTCCGGGTTATAGTATGGTTAGGTGTAATACGAAGAACAGAAATACAGGAGGAGTTGTTTTATATGTAAAGGACGATATTAAATATGATATAGTATTAGCAAAAAAGTTAAAACTAAATTGTTGGTGTGTAGCGGTAGAAGTAAAAGAAAAATTGTATAAAAGAGTGAGAGATTATGGTAGTATATCACTCACCAAGCGCGCCGCATGGTAACTGTATGAGATTTCTGGAAAATATAGTAGAGGAGTTGACAGTAAAAGAAGAATGTATAGTAATTGGTGACTTTAATATAGATCTCATGATAAATACATTTTATGCGAAGAAGCTGCAAACGACAATGCTGAGCTTAGGTATGAAACAGTGCGTTAATAAACCGACGAGAATCACGAAAAACTGTCAGACAATCATTGATTTAGTCTTCGCTAATAATGATAGTTTAGAAGTACAAGTAATTTACGAACTTACAATTACGGATCATGCATGGCTAAAAGTTGAATTTGGTGTTAGGAGAATCGAAAATAAGTATAGGGAATTTAGCGCTAGGAGCTATAAGAAATTTGATGTAAATGAATTTTGCAGATTAGTAGAAAATAAATTGCATACAAGACAAGATACAGATGTCAGTATAAGAGCGACAAAACTTGTTGACTTGTATAATAGAAGCGTTAGATATAGTGCCAATAAGAAAATCTAGAATTCTGAAGATGTGGGAAGGGAAAAATGATTCTCAGATAAAATAAGAGAAGCAGCTGATCGAAGGGATAAAGCATACAAAAAAGCGGTATATGAAAATACTAAGCAAAATTGGTTACAGTTTAAAACTGAAAGGAATGCAATTATAAAATTAATTAGAAATAAAGAAAGAGTATTATATATATATATATAAAATATGATAGATCTCAACAACAAAAATCCTACGGCTATGTGGAAAACCTTGAAAGAAATAATTAAAGGTGAGCCAGTAGGGTCAAAGATAATAGAAAATATAGATTTCGAAATCTTAGATAATACTGGTGAGTTCGATATAGCTGATAAATTTAATTTATACAACATAAAAAGTATTAATAATATAGTACAATCTATAAATGTAGATACGTCCAGCAAATAAAAAAATTATTTATGTTATTGAGAACAAAGGAATTATGGAAAATTTTGAGATGATTGGACTAGATCAGTTAGACAAAGTTGTTATGGGATTAGTAAACAAGAAAGGTACAAATGAGGGGATAACTAGTGATGTATTAAAAGCAGTTTTTTGTGTAATAAAAAAGGAGTTTGCAAATAATAAATAGGTCTATTTGCATATAATAAATAGTTCTTTGAGAGTTGGTTGCTATCCGAAAAGATGGAAAACTTCGACGATAGTGCCGATATCAAAAATAGATAAAGAGAAAAAACCCAAGCAACCAGCTGACGTTTAATGACGTAAATATACGTGATTTTTGTCACTAATTGGTGATTATGACCTAAATCTGACGTCATTTGGAACGTCATAACAATGACGTCAGTATATACGTCACACATATACGTCATATATGATGTAACTATTGGTCTTTGGAGTAACGTCAGTTGAAATAAGTGAGTAAGACGTCATAATGACGTTATTTAAATAACACGGTA